TGGCAGGCTAAAAGAACTAAATATTCTCATCTTAAACAGAGGAGACTAGTAAGTAGCCTACTTCATATATTCAAAATTCTCAAAGGCATTGGAGCCTTCAGAAACAACACTAAAACACAAACAAGAGGACACCAGTGGGAACTGGGTATTTCATAAATCATTGTTATTGTCATTAGATTTTAATTGTTAATTAATTTGTATTCATTAAAGTACATTATTAACTCAAAATGATAGGAAGGTTTCAGATTGCTGTTCCGGAAAAGCCCGAACTACAGTAAGGATTATGTTCTCTACACGGTTGACATTTGTGATGCCTTTTTTGTATCTCAGTTGCATGCTACTAGGAAAACAAACAGAATCACTGCAAATACATGTTTTTTACTGGTATTTTAAATTATTCTGACTAATTCTGTAGTCATTAATGCATATTTTCAACTAACATAAAGTTTTATATACATGTTCTAGGAATGCCCAGACTAGCATTAGGGTTGGGTTTTCCACATTACATAGACATTTTGTGATGATTTTGCTGTGGTTTAAAATGTATTGGAAATACAGGAAAAGTGTTTTTGGCATGCTGTGAAAAATATCTTAGGCCCAAATTTGCCACTTTTGGTTGATTCTCAGGTCAGCCAAAAATTGAGAAGAATCAAATGTTTTAAAAAACATGTTCTACGTGCTAAAATCTGTTATTTTGCATTTAAAAGCAAACACAAACACAAAGTTTTGGCAGACATTGGTGATAATTGAAATCCCAACCTTTACGCAGCACAAACATTTTGAACACATTTTGAACATCCTGTTACAAAAAAAGAAAATTCCATTGAAGTTTAATTTACTTTATATGTGGTATGTTAAGTAATTCTGACTTATTTTGGAGTGTTTAAAGCACATTTCCCACTGTGTTTAATGCAAAGTTTCAGATGTTGTACAAACACAATAACTATTTTTTTCACATAATTTTGAAAAGGAATTGTATGTAACAGCAATACCTGCAGCACTTTAAGGGCAAAATGAATACTCCTCTTCATGATTAATTCAACTTAAATGAATGCTATGATTATAAATGCCCTTTCTATCACCTAGAAAGAGTAACCTCAAATTAGTCACTTCAGATACTTACCAAAGCAGTGCTGGAGACAAAAAGAATACTGAAGAACAGATGTATTTTCCAATTGGAAACCACTGTACACCAATTAGCATCTGCTGCACCATTATATCAGGAACTCCACATAAGAGCACTAATTAATAAATCATTGTTTATGTCTTTCTTTATTTGCTGAGCCGTATGGATAATGCATTAAACCAAATTGCAACTGCTTATAATTTGAAATGGAGTAAAACATTAACATGTCAACTTTATGAACATATTACTGCAGTAAAACCAAATATTGTATAGAGTACAAAAACATTTGCTTTCACACTCAAAGAGGCTGTTGTTTTTCCTAAACTTTCTGCCATAACAATCAAAATGTATACAAGTTCTGATTCAATAAAATGCTTTTATAAAAAAAAACATCTACCAACCTTTAGAATAGTCACATACAGCTCAGATTAGTAATTAATTGTGTACCACCTTAGATAAGCATAATCATGCAATCATGTACCAGCCCAGAGTAGTCAATAATACACCAGTGCAGATCAGTGCAATTGTTTGGCAGCTTTGCAGGGATTCATTTCAAAAAGGATCCTTCCATAGGTACACCTTATTGTGAGATCCTTTTTTGAATGAAATCCATAGAATCAGTCTTGGAAATATAAATGTGCAACACAAATGAATACTGAAATGCCATTTATATAAATAGAAAACTGTAAGGTAGAACTCAATACTTTTCTTCTGAAGCATTTTTTCAAACTCTTTGCATCAAGGGTTTCTTCAGATATTAGTTAAATCCTTCTATACATCCATGAAAGCTGCTTTCCTGGTGAGGGCCATTCCAACTGAAAGCCTACTTCCATGCATTGTGAGTAACGCAATAAGAGCACATGATACCTCTCAAAATGTCAACAAATAAACAGCTTCAGGAATGATGTATTGTATCTCGACTACAGTACATGAGTAGAAGCATGATGAACAAGAAACAAATTATTCTTCCACTGAAAATGGAAATAATATTCTCATGGAGATCTTACTAGTACATTACAATTTTAACATAACATACCTACTTTTAAGGTTCATTTTAGGGATTAATTTACAGAATATTTACTTTTTGTTTAGTAAAGCTGAGTTCCCTGATATATTTCTCTTCAGACAAGCACATCACTGCAAGCACATACTGTATACAGTGCTGTATGTCCAAATAAAGTTAACAACCCAATGGAATTGCCATTGGATTTTAATAATATAATTAAAAATATAGTTCCTTCAGATATTACCAACGTTTTAAAAAAGAGTGATATGGAACAAATGTGTTAAAATATCTATATAATTGGATGTCCTTTAAATGATAATAAAAACTGAGGGCACTGCTTTAAAAGATGAAATAGTAGCAGCACGTTTAAGCTGCCTTTGTTAGACCTCAGTGTCTCACCAGCAATAGCGCTATATATATACTGTCTTTAGTAAGAGTGGAACTATAGAGCCCCCTGGTGGTCAGGCTTGGTACGTACATTCAGCTATCAAATGTTCATATTATTCAGTTGTTGTCTTTTATAACTACTGTGTTATTTTAATTATTTAGCTGAACTTGAACTTGAACTTGAACTTTATTGCCATATGTAACCGGTACTGGTACAATGGAATTTTTACTTACAGAAAGTCTCTCGATTGTAAAACAGGTGTAAAAAACAAAACAAAGTGCAAACAGTGCACAAGACAATATACAAACAAACAATAGACAATGTGCAAGTAAACATGTAGACAGTTTGAATGTAAACAATGGAGACGTGTAAACAATGACTGGAGATGTGCAATAGATAAGAAATCATAAAGAGGTAGATGGTGATGGTGTAGGTGTGGTCCGAGGGGGATGGCTAAATGTGTT